ATGGTTTATCAGCTTCTCAAATTGGTATTGCTTCTACCCGTGGCAACGGCAAGTGTTGAAAGGGTATTTTCTGCGATGGTTTTAGTGAAAACAAAGCTACAAAATAATATGGGAGATAGTCTTTTGAATGATTGTCTAGTCACTTTCATTGAGCGAGATATTTTTTTTGAAGTTGATGAAGATGATATAATTGAGACATTTATGTCCCTTCGAAAGCGTCGAATAAAAATGTCGGTAAAATAACATTGTAAGTCTCTGGTACTCTATTATGCATATATTTCAGTTATCGGTATGGCTTTTGAAACTATTTATACTATATTTAGCAGATACGCTGTCCACTTAATTCATGATTATAAGCCTTAATACCGAATTGGTAAATGGATTTACCGAATTATGTATGAATTTTTTTTGAGAGGCATACCCTAATCTAAAATCCTAGATTCGCCACTACCTACAACCAGACACGGCAGCGGTAGATCGGAATATGCTCAGTGACGAGCGCGGCATCTGCGCTGCGCACGCTCGCGGTAGGGACTTGAAGCGGACTGCGGAGCCGTGTCGTGCGGCAAGCCCCCCGTTGCGCCAAGGCGGCTTCAAGCCTTTCCTCCGCCGTGGGGGGATCGGCTCTGGGGTTGGCGTCGCCGTCGCAGGCGGTGGTGGCGACTCCGCCGTGCTAAGCACCCCCGGCCATGCTGCGGCTGCGCGGGAGCGAAGCTCTGGCGAGTCGAGAAGATGCGCACGCAGGAATCTGGCCCCAACACTCCTGGATTCGGCGGTGGTTGGAGCTCATCGGTGTGTCCTCCCGGGCGGTGGAGGTCGTGCCGGTGACGTCAGCCAGCAGGAACGAAGTGGCGGTGCCACCTTTCCGATTCCCGAACGGTAGGGAAGCGTCGCTGCCTTCCGCCGCACCGGGCCTCCGAACGATGCGGCTCAACAGTGACACCTTCGATCCGTTCGGTGGTGCTCGGGCCCACCTACTATGCTGCGGGGCCCAACTACTACGCTATGGGCCCCACGGGTGCAACGTGGCCTCCATGCAAGAGGATTCGGTGCCCCTGCCTGCTCCATCACGTGGACACGCGTCGGCCACGTCAACACCAATTTCGGTGTTGTTTAGTTCCTCAAACTCCTAATTTGGGACTATGCAAAAAGAAGATTCTCCATCACATCAAATTTACGGTACATGTATGAAGTACTAAATGTAGATGAAATCAAAAACTAATTGTACAGTTTGGTTGAACTTTGCGAGACGAATCTTTTGAGCCTAATTAGTCAATGTTTGGACAATAATTCACAAATACAAACGAAATTGCTACAGTGTTTGCCGTCATATCAAACACTGTGCAAATACCGATTCCGACCGAACTAAACAAGGCCTTCGTTCACGGTGGCGGCAGGCAAGTGACGCATTAAGAGCAGGCTACTGTTCTTTATTGTCCCGCTTCTCTGTTTCTCTATAGGTATGGAAGTGATAAAGCAGCTATTGGTGTTCGGGTCGATCGTTAACGTCGGTTGAAGTAGGTCTTAGATTTGGTATCGGTGGCTGTCAGTGGTGGATGCACAACAGGATTGAAGTAGGCTCGTCTCTTCTTCTCTTTCTCTTTCCATTTTTTTCTTTCCTCCATCTCTTCTTCTTCCTCACCCTCCTCATATTTTCATTGATGCACCAGCTGTAAGGGGGCTAGAGCCCCCCAACCCCCCCTTAGATCCACCCTTGGTGGCTGTGGATTCAATTTCTTAAGACCGGTGAAGTCTCCATCCTATCTACAGCTCAAGACTACTTATCCTCGAAGACACAGGCCGATCAGACAATTGAGAGGAGCGCCGACTATGCTATCGGAGTGTGAGAACGAGGACCATCGATGATTTTATCGTGGCCACTTCTCGTGGGCCCTGTGGCCTCGACGGGCCCCGCGCCCCTGACAGAAGCATCACCTATGTCTACAGAAGCAGATCAGTAGTAGTTTTTACTTGTCTGTGCCCTATAATATGGGAATTCATTTCCCATATTGGTGTATTGTGCTTTAACATTATATATTAAAAGTTGTTGTAAAAAAATCTAAAACAAACTATATACTAGTGTACAACAAACTCTATACTAGTCCATCACAAACTATATACTTAACCCTTGATCGGAAGTAGGAAACCTGTGTTCGTCAACGCACCACATATCGTTACACATATTGTTTAACAACTCCCCTCGATCATAACGGTACTATGTTAACATTGTATTTAAAATTCTTCAGGAGTCGTACTGTCAGTGGTTTTGCAAATCTATTTGCTACTTGATCACATGAAGAGACAAATTCAATGTTCAGCAATTTCCTTGGCACTCGTTCTCTAACAAAGTGGAAGCCAACCTCTATATGTTTTGTTCTGACATGGAACACTGGGTTGTACGTATTAGAGCAACTCGAAAGCATAATTCAAAATTTACCCAATGAAACTTAGATCGAGTAAATTACCGATGTTCCTAGGGTGGTGTAGAGCCTATTTCACCACTTGAACAAGGTTGGAAGCTAAGGCACAAGTAGATCAGTAGAAAACCCTAAATATACCAACAACACAAGTAGAGCACACCAAAATAGCAAGAACACGAGAGACAAGATTTATCCCGTGGTTTAACTCGGCACTAAGGCTTGCCTACCTCCGCGTTCTTGAGGAAGCCACTAAGGCTTGTTTCGCAAACCCTATCCTCTTCTCAAGTCAAGAGCACAAGTATCTTGTTTTAAGAGTTCTTACTAGATGTTGGGTGAGTTACAAACTTCCCAGAGCACCCACAAGAGTTGGGAGCTTTGACGGGTGATGCCTAGCTGTCTATAGGAGCTCTTGCTCCAAAAGTAATGAACATAATCCACCGGCTTGAACACGAACCAAGTGCTATTGTAGTTGGATCTTAGCTTGACAAGCTCTCTGATGAAGTTTGGAGACCAATCTCTCAAGAAATCATAAGGGAATCAATGGAAGAGCTTGGATGGCCTTCGATAGAGTGTGAGGGGCTTGTCTGAAGGTAGGAGAAGAGTGAATAATGCTTGAGATGATCGTCGGGGAGGAATGAGAAGAGGTATAAATACCCCTCATTTCCCAACTGACCGTTAAGTCACGGTAATGCCGTGAGATATGTGGCAGTGCTGTGCCAGCCAACCAGCAGAAGGTTAGAGTTGGTTGGCTTGGCTTGGTTGAGGATTTTATGTATGGTGGTTATGTTGAGCACTTGGTTGCACATTAAACCTTGTGCATTGTATCCCCCTTCATAGTCGACGGATCTCCACCATTCTAAATAGCATCCTCATTCTTATATCACTCCTTCTTGTCAACTTAATAAATCTTATTAGTCCTCTGATTATGTGGTCATTATCACCAAAATAAAAAAATAGGGCTTGATTGCACTTACAATTTTTTCATAACCAGTGGCAGGTGGATAATTTCTTTGAAGTTACCCACCTCCACAGCCAGTGAAAACAAGGGTAGGGCTATTGTGAGTTTTGTAGCAGAGATAAAAATTGCTTTTGCCCCAAAGCACCTATGAGTTGCCACCCCTTTGGTTGGCTTTTGGGAAGCCCAAGCAAAGGGTGCCAAAATATATTCGATGACGTATCTAGTGATACTAATTTAGTATTATAAATATAGATGTTCTTTTCTTGTTAAATTTAAAAGTGTTTATAGGATACTTTTAAAATTTTATTTAATTTAGGACCAAGGGAGTATCCTGCTTGTTTTGAATGTATGGTATTGCTTGGTATTGTATTCTAGACCTTCTACTCTTCTAGGAAGGTATTCATATACTGCTACCTTTATTAGTGATCTAATGCATATTCTATAGTTAAAAAATAGCACTCTTCAATTGAAAGCGCTACCCTTCATGTACTTTTTTTTTAGTAGCACTACCTTTATGTACTTGTCTGGTCCCATGCCACCATAAATCACTCAGTTCCATCTGCCACCGCAGATGATGTGGACATTGCGTTCCATTTCTTTAGCAGTGGTTGGATGCAGTAATTGCCTGCCCCAACACATTCAGGGGCGCGTTTAGTTGCCCCCAAAATTGGCGCCGCCTGAATTCTGTATGCACCGTAGCGCACTGTAGCATTTCGTTTGTATTTTGTAATAATTGTCCAATCGTTGACTAATTAGGCTCAAAACGTTCGTCTCGCAAAGTACAACCAAATTATGCAATTAGTTTTTGATTTCGTCAACATTTAGTACTTCATGCATATACCGCAAATTTGATGTGACGGGGAATCTTCTTTTTGCATAGTGCCAAAGTTTGGATTCTGGGTGAACTAAACATGGCCCAGTATTTATTTGCAATGTGATTGCACAAGCGTGGAAGTATGTGGTACGCAAGATATATAAGGGCATGTTCGCTTGAACTTATCAGTCGACTTATCAGCTAAAATTTACAGTATTTTCTCTCATAATAAATCAGCTTCAGCCGACATATTAACCGGCTTTAATACCAGCCGAATAGACCATCTAAGATTACGAGATAGCTCCGGTTTTCAACAATTTAGCAACAGGATCTCTCGTAATCTTTGAACTCTAGATAGACCACAATTTATATAATGTATTCCTTTATATATTCACTAAAAGTATTTATGATCTTTTTTTTAAAAATCATATATGTTATAGTAGAAAAATCATAGTCAAAGGTGTGTTTTGGAGTACTTAAAAGTTTATCTCCTAATACAAATTTCAAGCTACGTGTTTTTTTCCCGATGTGTTGCGATATTTCATGGAAAAAAAATTAGTTAGACGCCTCAAATAAATAAAATTATATGAAAGAAGAGAGAATATCTCAGCTCTCACTCTCCCGGGCGTTATCTTGCTAATCAGGTCACGGTATACGTACAGGCATTGAAAAGACTCGTCTTGAAAAAGTTGAGATCGATAGAGGTAACACCTCAACAGCACCACTTTTAAATTTCTCTCAGACACACATGTGCGCGTGTGTGTCACCCCACTCTCCGCTTTGCCTCACTATAGGGCTACCAGGCAATATGTCAAGCCTGTGCTACTGGCTGCTGCTTCTACTCGTGCATTTCTCTCGCTCGACCAGCAGGGCCACCGCTGGCAAGGTGTCGGCGTTCATTGTGTTCGGGGACTCCACAGTGGACACGGGCAACAACAACTTCATCCCCACCATCGCCAAGGCCAACTTCCCGCCATATGGGCGCGACTTCAACGGGGGCGTCGCCACCGGCAGGTTCTCCAACGGCCGGCTTGTCACAGACTTCATTTCAGAGGCCTTCGGTTTGCCGTCGACTCTGCCGGCATACCTGGACCCCAGCTACACGATCGACCAGCTCGCTAAGGGCGTCAGCTTTGCCTCCGGAGCCACCGGGCTGGATGATCTAACAGCAAAATTCACAGTAAGGAAACTTTTATGCCTTCTGCAAGTTCTGCTATGCCTTGTTTTTCTTTATTTCACAAGTATTTGGGTCGTTGCTTCGGATTGGGGTATTCCTCCTTTTTTTGGAGTGAATGAAGACATGATTTTGAACGGGTGAGTCGATGATCTTGTCATCCCATTCTATTCATTCAACCAAGACCATAGATGGGTTATGGAGTCCGGATTGTGAAATGGGTGTAATGTACACTACTACACATGTGTTTTTAGAGACGGGTAGGTGGTTTATAAACACGGCTGCCTCTATGTAGAAATCAGCCACCTTTAAAAATCGAACTCTAGAAGCGAGCCAAAATCTAGCCGCACGTAGAGAGTGATTTTTAGAAGTAGGCCGAAATCTAGTTGTCTCTAAAGTAGTTTTTTTTAGAATTTGTGTGGCAGAACCACCTAAATTATATGGTCCATATACACCTGTCATTGTCCGAAAGACCTCTGACTGCTGCACATAAGAGTCAGATAATCCTAGTAGTTTGTCGGGTGTCCTCGGAGAACCCCGAATCATCCACATTTTACAACTCATACAGGATCAACATGGAGTTACCACAACATTACAACACTTGGTATAAAAATAACTTACATCAGAGTGCGAAAGACTTAACATTAGTTTACAAAACATGTTCAAGTAAAATCTTAGCTTAAGTTCCAAAAGATGAGTAAGACTACAGAAGCAACTTAGGTGAAGCATCTAAGTTAGGAGAGACGACCAGATCATGTTGAGCCCACTAACATGACCTCAATTAGCAGCACGAGTCATAATCTGCAATAAGGGTTAACAAACCCTGAGTACTTAAGGGTACTCAACAAGTCTTACCCAACTAACATAAAAGACTCTAAGGGTATGCGGGCTTAAAGGAAAGTTGGAAGCAAGAATAACTTTTATAGAAAAGCTTACTATAAGTGGATCCTTACTTTCGATGTTTTAGCTTCGTATTAAATTTCTCGGTGGTATCTAGTTTGCACCTGATCTTGATCAATCACTTCATTAATCATCTCATCTCTTCTTATGCCATAAGAACCATGATTTCATTGATGAACTACGATGCATGTCAGAGGATCGAGTCTTCATAATCGAAGAGCACGACGATTCTAATCGATTAGGCCCAGCTGGGGTTTCCTTACCACACGACATATGCAGATCTCGGTCTCGGACTTACATATATCAACCTTCACTCGGATTCTCCAAAACGTGAACCGGTCTACGCTACCCGAGAGCACAGTACTCCACCTCCCTGCGCCACTCCTGGTGGATTCACAGGATGTGTACGCACTACTCTCATCATCTCCTATGTCTAGTGCGCAGTTGTCTTTTCACATAATGGAATAGCCGTGGTATCAGGCTTACCGGAGTATGTGGTCAGTACTGTAAGGTCTTGACCACACGGTGACCTACAACGGTACGGTCCTCAATCGACACAGGCGGAATGAGCACAACCAAGCGAGCCTGTCTGCCCAAGAACCCATAACATCAAGTCCCGCTCGGTCTCAATTTAAATATTATCATACTTATGATATTCTCACGATCCAAAGGCAGAGCCGAGGCAAACCTAATTCTCACGGACGATGAAATCATCATTCGACTTCTATCGAAGCCTAAGCATTACTAAGCATTAGAGATATCGACCAACACATATAAGTAGGGTAAGACTAAGGATACCGAAATAAAAAGGTAATCATGCAACAATGGTTTATTCAACCAACTCCTAATTACTTCATGCACATCTCCCAAGACTTAAGTGTAATAAAGATTTATAAATGCTAGAGAAGGGTTTATGCTCCGGGGCTTGCCTGCGTTGCAAAGAAGGTTAGTTCCACAGAGTACCACAGGAGTTAGACTTGGCATCAACACCATGGTGGATGGATCTTCTCCGAAACTTGATCAACACGAGCCTTCTCACTCTCGTACACTACACGTAATAAATGATGCTTTGCTTAACATGATGGACTACATGCCATGATGCATGGTGAGAGGTGCACAAGTGCATAACAGAAGTTTAAACAAAGTTAATTATCTTGAGTACAACTTTCCTTCACTAAGAATTGGGGTCATTATCTTACCAAGCATTTTAATTATTAACCTCAATGCTAATTAGTTGTTAACATAAAAGGATTAACTTAACATGGACCAACAAAATTAACATGAAAAGCATAGACAAAGCATAACCACTTACTCAACTATTGCACACAAGGAGCAATCAAGGTTTATATACATGCATCTACTAATTAAGCATTTAATTAAACCATTTATTTATTATATAACAAGTCGATGATAAGCATATCATGGAAAGGAATTAAGTTGCCAAGAAACAATAGGGGTTTGGTGTTCCAAGGTTCACAATCAACTCCAAAATATACCAAAGTCATTTTATGATTTATCCTAATTCATTTTAATATTTATTAAACATGGAAAAGACATTTATAAACACTTAAATTAATTAACTAAGTTAGGATTATCAAAACAGTACCAAACTTTTTGTGAAGGTATATATTAACACATATCATATACACAAGAAGTTTCATGATCACAGGATTAATATTTTTATTTATAAAAATCATGCAAGATCCATTTATTAATTAAAAAAATATAATTTTAAAGCATATAAAAACTACTGAAAATGACCATTTCATATACAGTAGAACATCTCATAACAAGGCTACACAACAAATTTCACATTTTTATCATGCTCCAATATTTAGTTATGATTTAAATAAGAAACTGCATAAGAAAACATTTTCTAAAAATCGAAAAGGGTTAAAAACCCATCTGCACCCACACCCAGCCAGCCACAATGGCTGACAAGCGGGGCCAGAGTCAACGGCACAGTGCCCCCGCGCGTTTCCTCACCGGCGACGGGGTCTCCGGCGACGGCGAGGACACGTACACGCTCAGGACAACCTCACGCATCACCCTACGGTGACGGTTAAGCAGTTAGGGTTTCGTGGTGCTCTCGATGCCGGCCATGGCGGCGCACGGCACCGCGGAACCTGCCGACGACGAGGTCACCGGTGACGGGGTTGGCACCAGCAGACTCTCAGAAACCCTACGCACCTATCTAAGCTGCCGGTTGATCTAGCTGAGGTTAGCAGCGAGCTTGCCCGCGGCCATGGCGGACGGCGGAGCAGAGCTCGCCGGCGCGGCGGCGTTCTGACTACTCCGGTGCGGTAGAGTCAAAACAGGCGGAGGGGTTAGGCTCAGCAGCTCACCGCGATACTATTGTGTCTGCTGATCGAGTCGGGGACACAGCGAGGCTAGATCACCGGTGTCGAGGGCGAAGGAGGCGGCGCGATCTGGTGGCGACGGCGCGTTCCGGAGGAACCTGTGCGGTAGAGATGAAAAGTATAAGCCGATGAGCATCGCTGACTTACTAGGAAACCAGAACAAGAATAAAGGTAACGGAAGGTACTCCAGTGGAGCCTGGCCACGGCAGGGGTGCTCGCGGTGGCGCGGCAGAGCACCGGCGGCGGAAAACGGCCGTGCCGGGGACTCTGACCGGTAGAGGTGACGCTACTGGGATTGTAGGATGCGCATGGGCGATTCGAAGCTGCAGGCAAGAGGAATTGGGCGCTGGCTGTGCCGTGGTGATGAATTACGCCGGCGAGCCGAGGAGCACGGCGGCGAGCAGAGAAGGGAAAGGAAGGACGGCCGGTGGCGCTGCTCTTTTATCGGCGAGTGCGAAGCGTCTGGACGAGCCAGCAGCTGCTTGAGCGTGGCCACGTGAAGCAGCTGCGTGCCGCGCGCGCAAGGCGGCGCTAAGGCGGTGGCGGTCACCGACGGCAAGCAGCTCGGTGGCAGCTGCTTCCGATGCTACAGTAGCGACTGAACCGGTCCTGTTCTTCATGTTGGTTCTCTTGATTTTACGTGACAACTCGAAAATATCCAAGAATGAAAGTTGCTGAACTTGGTGAGGGCTCCAAGATTGCTTACAGGCTCGAGTGCTAATTCTTACTGGATTGGGAGATCCAAGGTCAAGAACAAGGGTAGGATGAAACTGAACTTCAGACCTCAGTTAGGGTTTTGAAAACAATTAGATTAACAAACTTTGGGAATTAATTAAGGAACAATCATCTATCAAACATCTCAACCAATTTCACATTATCATATTTTAAACATCATACGAAGCAATGGAAGAAAATTTGGACAAATTTTATTCATGGAATTTCATTTTATAACTCCCCAAAAAGTGAGCTAAATGCTGTTTTTAGGGACAGACAAAATTTGCTGTGATTTTCAGCATTAAATCCAATCTTTGGGCTCAATTTTAAACATGTTTGACTTAGAAACATCATCACATTTTGATTCCATATGAAAGCACACATCTTGTACTACAAAGTTTATTTTAACAAAATTTTATTTGTTTAAGCAAATTCACATATATAAAATCACAAAGAACCTTAAACACTACTATTGATATGATTTCATGAAACATGTGAAACACTATATATGCAACATGTGAAACCTTTACTTGCAACATGAAATGCATTTATGACATGACACTTGGTGCTTATGCCTGATGATGCTCATGATCAGGTTTGAGTTTGATTCTTAACATCTGGGATGTTACAATTTGCAAACCAGGTAAAAAAAATAGCAAAGTTCTTGATAGAAATGGGCCAATCAATTAGGGATGGACAAGATAGTGGCTCACCAGCTCACTAGACTCGTGGTCAGCTTAGTATTACGGCTTGGCCTGTTTTATTTTTTTCACGAGGCAAGCTAGAAGTTCATCTCGTTTTTTTAACAAACTAGCTCACGAGCCAAACTAGTAGCACGATAGCTTCTTAATCCCTCGTTCCAGTTGGCCAATCAGCAATTCTCATGTGCCCATGGCCACAAAAGAGGCTTAGCAAGCCCACCGGTTTCAACCCTAGCAAATACCTTATATAGTGAATATGAATTGGCGAACCCCATCCACCATTAAAAGAATATCCACCCACCATCGTCGCTCGTCGACAGCCAGTGAATTGACCCCTCCACTCCTCCGTCCACCCTACTGCCTATCACTAGTCAAGGCTTGGCGTACCGTCCACAGTGGCTTCTACGTTGCACACTGCACGCCAACACTATTCGCACTTGCCAGTCATCATGGAGAAGGAAGACAAGGTCAAGGTTGTCGAGGTGTAGGAGCAAACTCCCCCGCCACTGGTAGGTTTGGAGTATCGAAGAGCAAAACCGCGTCTTCCCCTACTCTATCACCGTCCCTTGCTACTCCTTTTTGTTTTTGTGGTTTATTGCTTCATTTTAGTGCTAAATTAGCATTGATTAGATATAAAATTTATATATTGATCACTTCACCTCAGTACCTTAATGAGCCGAGTCGAGCTAGCTCGATATCCACTCCTACAACCAACCCTCTGTAGTGAAAGTTACAAGTCATGCGATTGTTTGCACGAAATATGCACGCATGCGGAGAAGCGAACTCATACAGCCTGTTCGGGAGGCCGTATCGTATCGTGGATTATTTACTGCTGGCTGGTTTGGTGTGAGAGAAAAACACCGTTCCCAGCTGAAAATTTACGATCGTTTACGAGCAAGCGAACAGGCTGATAACCTCTAGCCTAACTTGTTAATTCTTTACCACTGTGACTCAAAGTCGCTTTGTGACTAAGTGATCGATATATTCCTTTTGTACTTATTTCATTGAATATTATAATGCATATTTGAGACCCTAAATGAACTGAAATTGAAAATTTTTATATGCAAAGTTTTAGAACTCTTTGAGTACTACAACTTTTGTTCAATTGAAAAAATTTAAAAATATGAACTTTGAAATCATTACTTCAAACATAATTGTCACTCGATCAATCGCTTAGAAAAGAGAATTATTGTTAGAGTAAATTACGCTTACAATACAAGAACTTGACAGGTGGGGTGTAAATTGGTCCAACAACTTATAAACTGCTCAAATAAATACAATAGCTTGGCAAATTGGTGCATATAAGTTTCAAACATTGCTAATATGAAAAAAAACATACTCAACGGTTAGGTGCCAAAATTAATGGATAATGCAGTCAACATGAACGCCCCAAATCAAACCTGAACAATAGATTAGATGCAATCTACAAAAGATGATCACATTTGCACTAGAAAATTTCAACCTTCTATTTTGGAAAAAGAAGATATAATATTTCCATCTAGCCTACTTATTAACAAAATTGAGTAACAATATTCACACGATAAACCATGGCCACCATTAAGTGAAAACATAAACATGTACTATCATAATTGGCCAAGAACAAAGTAGTTGATGCAAAAACAGAGGAAGGTCAGGGTTCCAGCCCTACGAGTTTAAGAACTAATACTAGTTAACTAGATTCATGTTGTAAACCCTCGTGTGAAAAACCCACCTTAGCATGATTAGAATAGAGGATTAAAGTTCAAGAACAATAATCACTAACTTATTCAAGAGGATGGACACTAGCTTCTCGGTGATGAGGCTCCATCGCAAATACCTTAGGTGATTGACGCTGTGGAGCAATTCCACCACGCGTGTAATGCACGTGCCGAAAACCCGCTATTAACACTACGCGTCTAATATGTGAGTATAGATTTTATCATACGAGCAGCGTTTGTACCATACGTGTACCAATTTGTCAAGTTATTGTACCTATTTGAGCAGTTTACTAGTTGTTAGAATATTCTGCACCCGCCTATAAAGTTGTTACATGGTGAATATAATTTACTCTATTGTTAATACCAACTACCAAGTACCTTGTTCCAAAACAGATTTACAGAAGTACTTACCTAAATTAACCTTCTACTTCGCAACTTACTTTGTTGTTTGGAACCTGTGTTAAATTTATTTCAGTCAGTAATACCCCTGGGCCAGCAGCTGGAGTACTTCGAGGAGTACAAGGCGAGGCTGGAAGCCGCAAAGGGGGAGTCCGTGGCCAGCGAGATCATCGCCGAGGCTGTGTACATCTTCAGCATCGGCACCAACGACTTCATCCTTAATTACTTCACCCTTCCTGTCCGCCCCGTCCAGTATACCCCGGCGGAGTACGTCGGCTACCTCGTTAGCCTTGCTGAAGCGGCCGCCCGTGACGCCTACCACCTCGGCGCGCGCAAGTTCGGGCTCTGCGGGCTCCCTCCGTTCGGGTGCTTACCTCTCTCGAGGACGCGGAACCACAGAGAGCCAGGCGAGTGCAACGAGGAGTACAACCAGCTGGCCATGAGGTTCAATGCCGAGCTGCAGGACGCCGTGACGAAGCTCAATGGTGACCTCGCCGGCGTGCTGGTGGTTTACGTTGACATTTACAGCGTGTTGTCTGACATCGTTGCCAATCCGTCGGACTACGGTTAGGGATCCAATCTATCTTCTCAATATATACTACTTACTGTTGGTTCTTGCATAGCGTGCATCTTGTGTTAAGTTACAATACAACATGTGCAACTGTCTTTTTACCAAAACATGTGCAACTGTCTTTAAAAGGTAATGTTTGATCCTATCACTTAGGCCCGGTTTGGATCCATAGAACTAACAATTAGTTGACTAATTTTTAGTCCCTAAGCATCTAAACAGACAGGCTAATTCTTAGTCCTCTAGTCATGGACTAGTTGTTAGTTTACTGGTTCACTCATATGAGTCAATATGACTAATTGTTAGTGCTAGTCCATCCAAACAGCCCCTTAAAAATACCTGCATGATTTCGAATAGATCTAGCTAATTGACCGACCAACTAACTGTTAGCTGCACACCCAGCTAAACTATTTCATTGAGTATAGTCAAACCCAACTAAAAGCACTTAATTAATAGACATTTGATTGAAATGCCCTCTACCAATTGGTAATTAAGTATTACTACTTCCTTTGTCATATATTATAAGTCATTCTAACTTTTTTGAGAGTCAACACATTTTAAGTTTAAGCAAATTTATATAATAAAATATTAACATTTATGATACCAAATAAGTATCATTAGATTCTTCATTAATTATATTTTTATAGTATACCTATTTGATGTCATAAATCTTTGTAATTCTTTCTATAGTTTTGACCTAACTTGAGATGCTTTAACTCTCCGAGAAAGCTCGAATAACTTATAATTCAGGACGGAGGGAGTAGCAACTACTCCATTCTTTTGTTTTAAATTATAAGACGTTCTGTCTTTTCTAGATATATAAAAATCAAAATATCTCATAATTTGAAACAGAGGGAGTATCTATTAGATGTAGAAAATAGTAAAAAGTAGGGATATTAGGATAAAATTAACAACACTTCAACCACCTACTAATTCATATCTAGTACTAGTACGTAGTCAGCTAATAGATAGCTAGGTAACTTTAATTGTGAGCTATTAACTAGCTAGCTGATAATTAGCTGTTAATGGAATGAAGTAGATCCTTAGTGAGGGAACAACTTGGTGCCCCTTGCCATGATATGATGCGAGAAAACAGTTCTCATCTAACAAGTGTAATATTGATGAATGAGTTGAGCACACTGTGTGCAATATTCACGCTGTCGATCGGGTTTTGTTTATCATCACCAGGATTCGAGAACGTTGCGCAAGGTTGCTGTGGCACAGGACTCATCGAGACTGCTGTCCTTTGCGGCTTGGATGAACAACTGACGTGTCAGGACGTGGACAAGTACTTATTCTTCGATTCAGCTCACCCTTCGGAGCGGGTGTACAAGATATTAGCTGACAAAATTCTCAAAAGTACATCGGGAGTGTTCCTGTGATATCATTTGTAGAGTATTTGTACTCTACTACCTACTGTGTACTAGAGTTCACTTTTTTAATTAGTCAAGAGAGCACCCGGGCTTTTATTGAAAGCACGTGCTCTCTCTATCTCAAAATAAACGCACATCTCATTTATTGAGAAGTCAAGCTCTTTTAAATTATTAAATATATAAAAAATATACTAATACTTATATGATATGTAATAAGTATCATTAGATTCTTTATGAAATATACTTTCATAATATTCTATTAGTCTCATAATAAGTACACTTCTATAGTTCAAAAGTGTACATCTATGTATTAGACAATCAACTCTAGTTGTCTTTTTCTACTTTATCTCTTTCTAAAGTGCAATGATTACATTTATAGAGTTATATTTGTAATTTTTCACTAGTATTGGTTTCTTCACCAAAGCTCTCTAGAAGTATACTTATTTTGGAACAACATGAGTATACTTATTTAGAGATATAAATATTGATACTATTTTCAGATCATTAGTCAAACTTAAAAGTAGTTTGACTCCTAACACTACCCTGGATATATATATATATATATATATATATATATATATATATATATATATATATATATATATATATATATATATATATATATAGCGATATATAGAACATAACAGAATGTCTGAATTCACGGTAGTAGCGGGCCCAGCGACCGAACGGAGAGCAAACCTTAAGGCGCTGATCTCTCACAACTAAAAAGACTAAAGAGCAGATATCGTTTTGGTGCGACAAAAACTTTGTCTCACCTTCGCCTCACCCCGTGCAAATTCTTTTTTTCCACCGCGACGCTCTGCCCGCCCCGTGCGAAATAGGAGGAGGGTCAATCACCGGCAAATAGAAGGAAGGTAATCTCCGGGAACGTTAACGCCCACCCAGCAGAACGACGTCCTGCCCCAATCGAAGTCCGCCTGGAGCAATAGATGGAAGGAGATTGCATGCATGACCAACAAGGAAATAACCAACGTTGATTACCACTCGGGCGCAATAGATGAAAGGAGATTACATCCGTGTGGGGAGCAATTGCATGCAGGACCAAGAAGGACGTCATTTGTTGCTGGCGTGCCCATTCGTCTTCTCGCACGGTCGATCGAAACTCGGAAGACGCCGCGGCAGAAGGAGTTCGGAGATCCAAACCTACGCATGCTTGCCATAGCCGCTGTGCACGCCGTCGCCCAACGCAGGCTCGTCGCCACCGTGCACGCCGTTGCCCAACGCAGGCTCGTCGCCGCCGCGCACGCTGTCGCCCAACGCAGGCTCCCTGCAGCCGCTGCGCACGTCGTTGCCCAACGCAGGCTCACCGCGGCCACCGCGCACACAGACTGAGAATTATATGCACTAAAAAATAGATCTAAGGATGTGAACTAATATATGTAAATTAACATGTAGTAGAAACCAAATAACTCTTATATCTTCAAAGATACGATTCTTACCTAATAAAGCTTGGCAACTATTTTGGCTCTTCAGAGTGGGAAAATAGTTAGCAGCCATTCAGTTTCAACATTGGTCGGGTTCAGTGATCAAAGATAATCATGCCACATATCATCAGTTCATATAGAGAACTAATAACTTTGCCTGTTAGTTATCTTCACGTGCATACTTAATTTATGATTTAGCAAGGGTTCCATTACCTGACCATTTTGATTGGTTCCAATCCTGCATGTTATATTTGTCGCTCAAACCTGTACTTTTGATGTTATTTATAAATGGAGCATGAGCTTTTACTTATCATGATGTTTTATTTCTGGTAGAGCTCCAAATTTGCGTTGTTTGCTTTATATTCTCTTTTAGCCATGGTTGTAAATTGTCAATTATGTTTTTCTTGACGAATTAACTCAGATGAAGCCTAGAGCATTTTAGATTTTTCCAAAAGTGAGCGGTCATTGTTCAGGGCCAGTCCAGTTTCATGTTGCATGCCAAAACTTCACAGGCCTGCAAAATCATGGTCTATTAACCAAATAAACCATTCCCAGTACTGTTGTGCTAATTGTTGGTTTTATTTTTTTTCAAAGCGTCCTTTGTATCTAGGAATAATGTCTGATTCGTTTTGTTTTGCTTTGTTATGCAGGGAGGACACTAGCTACAAGCACAAGATGAGCCTCTGAGGGCTATCCGAGGAAGGTTCTAGGCTGCTCCTGTGTTGTAGTCCAGGTGACTATAAGTTTCCTACTGAATTTAGAGTGAGTTGTTTTTTCCCTCAATTTTAAACCTAATTGCTTGGTACTTTATCTCAAGTGACTATCAGTAATTTATTCTAAGGGCAAGGACCATCGTTTGCGCCGGCCGCCAGCGGCCGAGCGCCGAGCCGCCGAGAAGCAGGAGGTACGTCTCGACATCCATATCGATCTGCTGTTAATAATAAGCCAATCAGGCAATCAGGAGTTTCCCTGCTCTGCTGTGACCTTAGACTGTCTAGCAAGAGATATTACTGTATTAGATATTGCTGACGATCAGTGATTCTATACCTATGGTCTATGCTACAATTCAAATTTATTTTCTCTCGCATTATCGTTTTTTAACAATACACCATGTATGAGGGCATTATTTATTTTCGTTGCAACGCATGGAAAGGTCTATACACTATACGCCCCGTTCACTTGACTGATAAGCCATGGCTGAAAAATATTGTTGACTGATTTGTTATGAGAGAAAAATACATTTCGTTCGTTGAAAAAGTACGGATTATAAGTCAAGCGAACATGGCGATAGTTTGTGAGCCTGCGACGCTGCGCTCTCCTTGACTGTGTTAATTTTATGAACTTTGCTTTTTAAATTAAATGTTACTTTAACGTCGATATTTAATTTTACAGTATTGTTATCTTATTGTGTGATCCGTGTGTTTTTAGTATAAAAGCTTAGTTGTTCTGTAGCAACGTACGTACACGCTACGTAGTAAAATCACATAGTTTTAAGCTTGCATCATAGTGTGACGCGACAAGTATCTCAAGCGCGTGCGGTCGTTGGAGCTTGGGTGGGCATCCAGGGTCGCTGGGCCCTAGGTCTGCCACTGATTTCACAACCAAGTGAGCACGTTGTCGAGAGCACCTTGTCCATCACCTTGAGTAAAAGGACTAGTAATTTGCGCGCGCCCATGCGCGCGTGATAACATCTTTGCGATTTTGTTTGAGAAATGAAATAGTACTGAGATAACAAATTATTTTATCTGGCAACCCAAACAGTATATAAAAAGATCGCCAAAAAAATATAGCACGGAACGCAATCACAAACCAAGGAAAATGACCACAAAAATAGAAGCCAGTCACTGAATCACAGGAAGATTCATTGTTTTCCGACCATACATAATGTCAGCTGCAAGTGTATTTCTTACAAGACCATCTGAACCGCAGGGTCCATAGTTTTCCCCAGCTGTAAGTCTATTAAACGGGGTAATCTAGCCAACACTGCAGTTTTGGGGGGGAAATCATATAAGCAGAGGTGAACACGGGAGCAGTTAAATAAGACATCAACGCAGTCATTAGCCCATTATGCACAAACATAGGAGCAGCTAAATAACACTGAAAAATGTTGTAGGAAAGATTTCCTCTTATCACTTTAAGGCCACAAGTTAATTTTGGTTGCATGATGCACCAGACATCTCTCGGACCCATTTTCATTTGTATTATTTGAATGGAAGCTAAAAATAAATGTTTTGTACAAAGCAGAAGGTGCAACAGGCAACCAGATATACTGGCCAATCTAATGCTACTCCCCGAGAAATACTGAACAGAATAGTTGCTAAAGTAAAAAAACATGGAATGCAATAGAGGATAATTTGAGAACAACGATCACCTCGTGGAGACTGTCCTCCATCAACTTCAAGGTCCATAACACCTCCTTCTCTAGGATCTGCAACCACCAAAAGCGTACTTTTTAGCCTTCATGTATACAGCTAAAGAACTATAAAAATTTGTCAACAAATTCGAAACAGAACTGCATTTGTAGCATGTGTTGAAGGACATCCGTACAAACTTTAAAATTACTAACCAAGGCTTAACAGATACTTGGATTCCTCGGTTGAACTACTTTACAACTGTAGCTCTATTTTGAAACAACGAAAGAACTTAGCAAACTTATATTAAGAAAAATTGCTTTCGAGCACGCAAAGCAACAATTTAAATGTAATCGAAAAAGCAAGTGGAACACACTATATCGACATTTCATCAAACAGTTCAACAAATTTAAACTGTTTGATGATAAATTGTCTAGGAAATAGCATATGCTACCTTTGGGTCAGAACACATTCTTGCTAAGGCAAGATAGCTTATAGGGGAGAGGCATGGTGGTACCTTGAGCGCAAATGGTGGTCGAATTGCAAGTCACCACTTTCAATGCCGGGGGTCGCATAGGCAGGCGGAGTGATTGGTATTGGTATTACATAGTTCCTCCATGCATAAAGATTAGAAATCAATAAAAGATTTTTTTATCTATCAAAGGAGAGCAATCAATTAATCTTCTGCCCTTTACGTGTTATATAAAGCGAAGCTTGGAACAAACAAACTGAAAATTGCCTACATCTCTGTATAACTCGGATTTCGTGTGAGGAATGCAACAGTCAATGTAACATTTGATGGGACAAAACTGGTGGCAAGGCAAACCACACTTTCCATCCATTTGAACAATCCAAGAGAAAAGAAATCGCAATGTATCTTTATTTTAGTAAGGAAAACATATGTTATATGACATAGAATAACTTTATTGGCAGGTAGGCAACATTTCTAAAATAATGTTTAGATATGCTTCTGCAAGAGAATTAAAGTTTGAATTTGAATTCACCTTTTCACAAGCAAGAAACTAAAGCTAATCCTTGTTCGGACAAAACAATAAAGTTCATCCTCACGGATTCACACTTCTAAACCAACAAAAGAGAATAAAGTTCCTCCCTTTAGCTCATTAGGTTGCAAAATTGAAACAAAAAGAAAGAGGTGATATTAGCGGTCACCTAATCTCTTCAAATTTAGAGGAACATTGTTAGCTAGAAGTCTCATCACTGCTTTTTTTCTGTATTGCTTCATTGCTGTCATTCACCTATGGTTATAAATATTATTTAGAAATGGAAAGTAATTTCACAAATTGACAAACCAGCAAGCCAACTCCTAAAGAGTGACCAACAAAAAGCTAGTAAGAAATCCACTATGGTCATGCATGAGGCTTTTCTTCCATAGGTGCCCAGTCAATGCAAAAAAAAAAAATAGATGCAACAAGCATGAGATTAGGTGGTAAGAAATCAAGCGTGGTCCAAATTAATAATTGCTCCCAAAAGCATTATTAGCATAAACCATACCGATCCACGAAGCATGGCACATGCACTGTAGCCAAATTGCAAAAGCCTTTTTACGCTTATGCATCGAAAGCAAAGAAGCTTTGCCATATACATGAAAAAAGTAAAATCAAAATACCTTGATATGGCAAGCAAGATCGCTACTTGCACGCAGCGGCGTCCATCAATTAAATCGCCTAGCTTCTTCCTTGCCATGGCACGCAAGCGTGCCTCCACAGACTAGCTACTCACCAATCTGGGGCGGATCGCGTACAACCCCACGGCTCGAATCTTGGATTAGCAAACCTCACAGCCTGGGTGTGCCCACCGCTGCACGGGGGGCGCCCTGGCCCTAGTCAACCATGGAAGACCGCCGGAGGCCAACCGCTGCCCCGGTGCTCCGCCGGGCCAGGGGGTGCCTCGCCGGGTCTTGGCCGCACAATACAGATCTGGCGTCCTCCTTACCCCCAATACCACTGAGACGCCCCACGGAGAAGCAGAGCCACCGGTGGAGCTGCAGCAGATAGGCGGGAAACGAATGGAAAAGTAAGGATGGAGAGAGGCCGGGCGGCTCACCTGGCGCAGCCAGCAGAACGGCAAGGAAGACGGAACGGAGGGGCTGCTCGAGCCGAGGCTGTCTGCGCTGGTGTGCCACCGCGCTAGGGTCCCAACAAGGCAACATCGCCCTCGCGCTGGAGGCCTCCCGTTGGAGAACAGATCCGCTTGGGCAGTCGCGGCTGCTGCCGGAGGGAGGCCTCGCTGCCGGTCGCCACCGCTTCTGGCGCGCCGGCGCGCTTAGGGTTCTCTTGTTGAACTGTCTGCGGGCGGGCGCCGCCGTGCTAGGGATGTCGTGCGAAAAAGCATCGCACGCGCAGCCACTGGCGCCAGAGCCGCCGACGCCGTGCCAGCTCCACACGGGGCTCGGAGGCCACGGTGCCGGAGCCGTCTTGAGTGTGCCCTGCTGCTGCCAGCCAGAAGCCTTGACGCGCGCCGCCAGCCCACACGGGGCCGGAGGCCACGGTGCGGAGAGCCGCGCTGGGCCTCCTCTGTGCCTGGCGCTTGCATTGCCACGGAAGCCAAGACGGGTGGAGGCCATCTCTTGGTTGGGGCCACCAGCGCCGCGCCGAGCCACGGCTCGGGAGTCGGCCCTCCCGACCCATGCTTGCCACGAGAGAGGAGCGAGAGGGAGGAGAAGTGGATTTGGAATGTGGAGCTAGGGTTTCAGCCGGTATATATTTAGCATGGGAAGAGCAGCAACACCGTTGGATTGAGGATCTGACGCTCAGAAAAATTTTGAACGACGTGGCCACCTTGAGGCCGCGCCGTGGCCACAACAAATTTACTCTTTAAATTCCACCTCCACTGATAGATAGCTATTTATGGAGCTAAAAGCAAAAAAAAAAAAGGCTTCTGCATTAGTGAAGTGGAGCGTGTCAACTTTTCGAAGATCTCCCATATGCCTTACCGCAGCAATAGTAGTGCTATTTCATCTTTTTTCTTACTATATATAGTTTTGACATGATTTTTTGATGGCATATTATTCTATTTCTCTTTCTTTTTTACCACCTAGATTTTAGAGGACCTCTCTATTTACATGATGGAGAAATTAACCTGAAGAGTGTTGGAAGCAGTTATCCACGTTCCCATTAGGCCACTATATATAAATTAAATTAAACAAATATAAATATTCTCAAAATATTACATTTTCTATTATCCAATACTTAGACTGTCTCCAACGGGCCGAACGCAAATACGGGACGCATTCCTTCTTATAGGTCACGCACAGGGAAAAGCTCCGGGACGCAAAACTCCACGTTTCCAACGACGGATGCAAAATCCGAAGGCCGAGCGCGGCCCGCATCCATGGCGATGCGGCTCCTGTCCACGCCGCCCCCACTCTTCCCGAGCCCCGGCCCGAAGGCACCCGTCTCCGTCTCCGCATCATCTTCCTCCAACTCCTCCGTCCGCTTGCGCGCGCGACGTCTGCAGCGGCGGGCGGGTCCGACCAGGACGGCGGACACTTCGAGGGGGAGGCGCGAGCTCTGGATCCGGCGCCACCGTGCTGTCGAGCTCCGGCCCTGGCGTCGATGTGCCCGAGCACCACCCGCGCTCGCCATCAACAGTCGCCGGAGCCGGGCACCACTAGGGCTGCTGCCAGTCGCCGAGCTCTGCTTTCCCTCTGTTCCGCCCCCTCTTCCCCGCGCTCTCTCTCTAAATCCGCTCTGCCCCCGCACTGGAGCCGAGCGCAGCTAGCAGCTCGCAGTCCGCCGCGCCGAAGCCCTCACAGGAGAAATCGCTGCCGCCGGCGGTGGCATCGGAGATTTGGGTAGTGAGGAGAGAGGCGATGCTTTTTTGCGTATGGATTGTGCCGGTTCACAAAATGGGTGATGTTTTTGCGTCACCCGTTGGAGGCTGTTTTTGGTAGGCAAAGCAACTGTGCTTAACGTATTTTGGGTTTGCATCTCAACAGTCTTACGAGCTTACGAAATCGTGGGGTTCCAATGTTCCATTGGACCAACGCCGGCCCAGTATAGCTCATATTAGTTTTTTGGTTCGTCGACGAAAGAAATGCTTGAGTAGTTTCGTTTTGGCGCGTCAAGCTGCCCAACTTGCGCGCGCGCGCGAGAGAGAGAGTGTCCACCCTTCCGGCCCTCCGCCCACCCCCGCTGCGGCCCTCGTGCTCGGCGGCGAGAAGGCGAAGGATGGCAGCGGCGGAGGACGCGGAGGGCGACCGCGTGATCGAGATCGTGTCAGCGGGGGCGCTCTACCACCGCGGCGGCGACTGGGAGCGCAAATACTGGAGCTGCTCGAGGGTAAAACCGCCAAACTAGGGCATAGGGTTTCGCCTTCTCGTTCAAATCCCCTTTGCCTCACCCGACTTGTTGCCCGTTCGCCTCTGTCTCCCGGTATGCGGATTCTCTCGCGGCGCGCCCGTGCTGGGGATTAATAGTTATTGGGCGTCCATTTGGGGAATCTAGGCTAAAGTGCTGCAGCTTAGTTTGGGGATTCGAGCAGGAGCCAAGAACTAGGATGCGCATTCACAATTTTGAAACTGAACCGTAGCTCTGCAGTAATTCCAGCTATATGCTCACGCTTTACTTTCATAGAATGTCATTACAGATAGTATGGTACATACTGCATAGTGCACAGTAATGTCATTTTTATTTTGGTAGTTTATCCATGCTTAGCTAATTCGGGATGTGTAATTTATTCTAAGGGCAAGGACCGGTACCCTTACCCGGTGGGTTACCATGCTGTCCGCCATTTCACCGGAATATCCTATGCCATGGAAATCCAACAGGGGCCCAAGGGTCCAATATTCCTGGTGAGGAATCTTCCACACCAACTCGGCTCAGATGTTTATAGAAATAGATGATGTGCTGATAAGCTCAGTCTGCAGGTTACATCCACCGAAGGAGACTCAGCGACAGGGCAGACCCCTGATATCGCTTGGAAGAACTTCCAGAAAAAGACTGGGGCTAAAGTGAAGAACTGGCAGAGGACAAAGAGCTTCCCTCAAAAGATTGATGGTGCTGAGGCATGTTTCACACCTCTAGCTGCTTCACAACTTCACATTCCATCAAAATAGTCAAAGTTCTTTTTTTATGCCCACTGCCAAGATGGCATACTGTAGTTGGTAATTAACTTGTTAAGGTTCTAGTTACTGAACATTTTACACCGCATCAAAATGGAGGCGCTATGTTATTCTTCTATTTTTGGGGTGACTTATAAGGCTTAAATAAGAGGGAGACTAATCTACTAATGGTTGCTGTGGTTGTAAGTCTAACCCTGACTCCTCCACAGCAGTTAAGTATGTATCCCCAAGCGTAAGAGCAGTTGCTTTTTGCTCACCGAAGGAAAGGGAGGAGGCATGCACACATAATGATCGAAACTTTCATTCAGGCAATCGAGAACAAAAACTCAAGAGCCCTGGCACATACACTAATTGTATCACAGGAATCCAAATATTTTATTCCTGTAGGAAACGGAAATGTGATCAATAAGAAGCAGTAGCTTGACTATTTTCTTGAATAGAAGTTGAACAGGGGTAACTACACTCTGTTAACATTGTGTACTATAACCAAATTATAATCATATTTAGTTTTGCTCTTGTCCTACTCCTATGCAGCTTTTTGGGTTCAAAAATGCATCTATTCAGAGATTGCTTCGTGAGCTTATAGTAGATTCAACTGGAGCAGTTGAACTTAACCTGCCTTGTGAAGTCGCTTCGGAGGCTGGTGCACATTTAGTTCATAATAAAGATGCATCTGATGTTTCTGAGGCTGAAGATCTATCCGTTTGCTTAGGCATGGAAAGTGGAACTCCTAAAAGAAGTATAGAGCCCAGCCAGGTGGAAAATACCTTGATAGTCCACTGCCCGGACATGTTAACTTCAGTTGATAAGTGCAATGTATCCACACATAAAAATACAAACGAAGTAAGCTGAGCTCTTCTTTCTTTAAACCCCCGCTTCCCCTTGAAGTGTAGTTGGTGTTTAATCATGGATATGTCACGCAATGGTTTTGTCAGTCAACTAGAAATAAGTTACATCATGGCTTATCTGGCCTGTTCGTAATTATCATCTAATTTTTGAATCTTGTGTGCTCTAGTGGACTTCCTTTCACTTGTTTAATGCTAAATAGTTCATGTGAGACAACGTGGGTACTTCTTTGTAGCTTCAGTAATCAGGGATTGTGCTATAAAATTCCATAGGATTTTTTTAAATAATGCACAATATTGCTTTGCTTTATTTTCTTCATTAGTTACATAGCCTTGTTTACTGACTGCACCTCCGGCATTGTTTAATGAAGTTGTCGCCTCAGCTTAAGATTGTCTACAAACGTGGGCAATATACTTCACCACCTTTTGGCGAGAACACACTACTTTTTATTGCCTGCATATTTCTTTTCACAAATAATATGGCTGTGTACAAAATTTTCTTGTTATCACTGTTAAAAAAATTATTAATCTGTACCACAGTCAGGATGTTAAACAAATTAGTGCAAGTTCTTAAAGTTCAGTTGTGAGCTGGTTAATCATCCTCATGCGTGTAACTCGTGGATTGTAGTGCCACACTGTTACTTCTGTGCTGGTCCATTATTTGTTAATGAATTAATGATTTCTGTTTTTAAATGTTCAAGGGAGATACTGTAGGTAGAGCACTTTTGCAAGATGTCTCTGATTCAAGATGTGCCCTTCCATTGCTGGAAGAAGTCCCTAACAATGCACAATCCACTTCTCTTGATGATAATTTGGGAGAGCCTTCCCTAGTTTCATCTCAACAAGTTGGTTTATCTTCTGGTTCTTATTCGAGCCCTGAAAAGTCTAATATAGAATTAGCTGAGAAGGAAGTAGCAAAGTCTATGATGTCTATTTTGCTTCCCCAAGCTATTCCCCTTCTCATGAAAACTTACAAAGGGAAGAAATCCAAGCATAAAAATAAAGAAACCTCTACTGTTTCGGCGAAAACAGTTTCAGCTTACAATCCATCTGATAGTTGCTGCCAAGGTAACTAATTTTAGTTTTCTTGTCGAAATATATCTTTGTTTGAGGACTTGTTATTGTGGAAATATATCTTTCATGGAAAATTTGATTAATTAGAGTAGTTAAAATGGTATTCCTTTTTCTTTTGATAAGGGTCACTTTCTATAGCCAAGCAAGAAGGCTACAGAAAACATAGTTTGGACTTTTGTAACTCCTGACTGATGATCCTTTTCTTCTGTAAGTTAGCTACGGCTCTGAATAATTCCTTGTTTTGAACAGGTGTAACTGTACCAACAATTATGGGTGAAGGTACAAATGAAAATAGTTCTGGAATGTGTGACCATGCGGGATCTCATCATGACATGGTTAAAAATGGCTTTGCCAATGATGACTGCAGAAATGATGACTCAGTGGTTAAATTAGATGAGATGAGTGGTTATGTTGTTGCAGATAGTTTTGAGGATGATGCACAAATTTTGGGTGACAATACGAAGAAATCAATAGGTAATCATCATCATTATCCTGAGGATGTGTGCTCTAGGGGACCTAATGAGAAGTTGAAGTTGCTAAATGGCAAAAGTGAAGTTTTTGAGTATCAGGCGAGTGTACATAATGGCAAAAATGCACCTGATGTGGTATATAATCATGAAAATGGACAATATATTTTGTCTGATTCGCTTGTTGCTTGTCTAGAGGATGAGTTCGGTGGGGAAGATAGTTCCAACCCTGCAAACTACAACCAGTTTATTGGCGATGTTAAACAATCTGAGCAGCAATTTAAGGAGCTTACAAATGTTATAAAAAATGACTCATCAGTTTCGGTGGATGTTTCATACCACAAGAACACTGGTAATGGATCAATTGATGTTTGTGCACAAGCTTTTGTTAGACATGGTTCAGCAGTTTCGAGGAATGAGGAGTGTTTAGCAAATATCTTGCCTGCTCCAGTTCATTCTAATGCACATAATGATGTTGTAAAGTGGGGTAAGCGTTATGTGAGTTCAACTTTGATTTTGCCACCTGCGAGTGAGGCAAAATCATCTTTGTTGGTCATGCGAGATGAACAACATCATACTGAAGTGCCAGCAATTGATCAGAAGGAAAATAGGTTCCATAGTGTAAGCTATAAATGTACAAAATCTGATGACAATACTAGTTTTCATTCTGAGAATGTTGAGTTTGTTGACAAACATGTTGCTTTTGAGTCATCAGACAAAGGCATGCATTCTAGTGATGGGTCACAAAGAGTAAGCACCACTAAAGGTTGGCCTGTTGGTGACAGAGTTAAAGCAGATAAAGGAAATTCGCTTGGCAAAGTGGAAGAATGTCAAATTGGATGTAAAAATGGTAATAAGAACACGATGCTATCTGTATGTGGGGAAGGCAATGTTTGTGAACACATACCTCCAAAGGGTGAAAATGATGTTTTTCATCACCAACCAGATAATGCCCTTTCTATGACCAATTGTACACATGGTTTAGTATCTGCATACACAAGAACACAAGCAAGAAGGTCAGATCATCACCTAGAGCTGGTGGGATGCTACCTGCACCCATTGCCTGTCTTGTCTGTCATGTTAAATGCTAAAAATCATAACAGCGTCTATATTTATGTATTGTGTGGCCTTTTGGAGAGCTGCCAAAGATTCCTTTATGTTTACACTATCACTCCTAAAGACCAGAAAGATGCGCCACCATGTTTTGTTGGTTACACTCCCCTTGTACTACCCACCTTGGACCATTCTTCAACAGGAAATGTAAGAGTTTTCTGTGAGCACAGTTTTTTCCCCCCGGGTGATGCAACATTGCACTAAATTCCTTGCACTTCTGTTCTTTTCAGTTTCCGTTTGGAAGATCTGGTTTGCATTTTACACCTGATGGCCAGTTTCTGGTCCTCCTGAGCAGCATCAGAATACCTTCTTGCAGGTTGTAATCATAATCCCTTAGTGACATGCCGGAAAATGTTGTATATACTTCCTCGGTCCACAAAAGGACGCAATTCTCACTTTTCGAGAAGTCAAATGATTTGAAGTTTGACTAAAGTTATATAAAAGAGTACAAACATTTATTATATAAGTACCATTAATTTAATTATGAAATATATTTTCATAGTAAACCTAGTTGAAGACATAATAAATATTAATACTTTAAACTATAAACTTGGTCAAAGTTAATTAATCTAGTTTGACTTGCACAAATCCTGTAATTGCATCCTTTTGTGGACGGAGGGAGTATACCTTATGCTGGTGCTGATTAAATATTCTTATTGACAGGATACAAAACATTGATTGCTTGTGCTCGGTGTGCAACTTGGGCCGATGCGAAGATAATTCTTTAAAAATTGTATCCGTTAACTTGGGTTATGTTTCACTTGTAACCAATTTGATGCCTTATGGGACAGTGTCGTGCATTCTGATATTCGAACCAAATTACATTGTAGCTACTGAAGATAGCAGAAACTTGCATATCTGGGAAATGGTCGATGGGTGGAGGTACATATTTTCTGTAGTATCAACATTATATGTGTCCCTTTCCATCTCATGTTTTAATACCTCTTTTTTTAAATTACAATTTTACTATGTGCAAAGTACAATATTCTAGTAATCATCTACTTTTCATGTTAAAAGGTTGGATTGAATGGTTGTGCTCTATTGGAAATATTATAGCAATCTATTTATATGTTTGAAATGAAGAAAATTAGAATACATTCCCTGTGCAATAGAAATCAGAACCTTACATTAGCCAAGACTTCGGACACTCAAATTTGTCAATAAATCATGTCTTATGAAAAAATATTGGTATTAAATAAAAGATAAGAGTTTCTAATGATCTGTTGGATTCATGGTTTTAAATTGCGGGCTATGACATTTAGCGGTAGCCTCCTTCGGAAGCTATAAAAGCTATAGCAGGATATATCGAAAGCTATTTCATTTAGAGTGCAAATTGAAGAAGTCTGGGAAAAACAGTTCTGCTCTGAGTACCTATTTGGTTGTCTTGTGGATGTCCTAGTCTTTCTAATGAACACATGCTAAGCACATTGTTTAACGTTTTTCAAGTGTCTCAGTATTTCTGTGATGCATTAATCATGCACCATGTGTCCATGTCCATGGTTGTACTTCCTTTTGCTTAGGCATTACCATCATGATTTGGAATCATATTTACTGCAGGAGTTCCCCTTAAACTTGATTTAGATATCCATACTAACTCTTGATGGGTGTAATCTATTCCTTTTTTTGTGTTCACAGTGAGATATCTGAGCAGTATGTGATTCCTAGTTTGGGTAACATGGGTCCTGTACTGGAGCTTCGAAGGATGCCAAAAAGCACATCTCTCATTATTGGCCATGATGGCGAAGGTGGCTTTTGTTTGTGGTATGCTCTAGTATCTCAGTTTTGTCACTTGTATTGTGCAGTGCCAAAGGGAATTATTGCAGTCACTGTTGATGTGGTAGTTATCTTTGTTAGGGATTTGGTCAGCGCATCTCGAATGCTTCATGCCAGTTATATCCAAATGCTTGTCATATAAATTACAATGTGGTGGGGAGAGAATACAAGAAATGATCTGAGCCCTCTCTCATGCAAGATGTCTTCCCGTGTCAATTTGGCATAGAATTTTCTAGAATTAGTGTTGCAGCACACAGAAGAGTCCTATCTTAAGTTTGTTCAGGCCCAATATCTAGAAGGTTCATAGATTAAGTCAAATATAATGTCCTCTGTTTAAGTCCAATGATGGGGTGCATTGAGGTGTTGTCATTAATACGCATATAAGTGGGGTCAATCACTCTGTCTACCATCATAGAGACAGCTTCAGTTACAATGGTCTGGGACATCTCTCCATCATTTAAGGATGGCAACGGGGCGGGTTCGGATTGGGTGGAGTCTCTGGGCACCCAAAACCGAAACCCGAACTGAAAACCCGAATCCGCCCCGAACACCAATTCGGGCAGGAATCCATCCCCGAAACTGAAACCCGCAGATCCCCGAAACCCAACGGATTATCAAAAACCCGAAACATTGAGCCGAGAATCCGTGAGGATGTGCTGGCCGCCTGGCCCTATGCGATGAGCCGCTGCCTGGGGAGCGCCACGTCGCCGCCTGCGCGTCTGCGGCTGGGGCTTTGGGGGCGCCGCGCGGCCCCGCGCCGCCGCCTGCGGGCCTACGGCTGGGACCTGGGGGGCGCCGCGCGGCCCGCGCCGCCGCCTGCAGGTTTGCGACTGGGGGCTGGGGGCGCTGCGCCGCCGCCTGCTGGAAGCGTGGGGTGGCACCTGCTCCGGCTGGGCGCGCCGGTCCTTGCTCCTCTGCTTGCTGTGACTGGTGGGTGCAGGTGGTGGCGCCGGAAGCTGCTCCTCTGCTTGCTGTGACTGGGCACTGGGCGAGGTCGCGAACGCGAGGGCCTGAGGACGAGCCGCAAGCGCTGGCCTGAGGACCGAGAGAGAGAGAAGCAGAGAGGTGCGTGGTTGGGTGCGGCGTGCGGCGCTGGGTGGGTGCGGGAGAGGGCTGAGGGATCTTATATACCTAGGGTTGCTAGTTGGGCTACTAGTGGGCTGAATCTTTCGGGGCCCGATGGAGCTCTGTGGGTGGAATTAAAGATCCGCACCAAAACCGCAGCATTTCGGGTATGCGAACCCGAAAAACCATGGGCAAAAATCAGGCCCTGAAACCGAAAACCGCGGACCCAAAACCCGCGGATATCCGCCCCGAACCCGATCCGCTGCCATCCTTACCATCATTCCCACCCATCCGATCATTAAAAGAAATGGAAATGTCTTTTTCGGTTCTGTTTCTTAAATGGATGGATTTGCTCGCATTGTATTTCAATTTCTTTTTGGCAGTGCTTGGTAAAGAAATGCGAAAGTGGAGTAGAAGAGATTTTGCTGCATTCATGTGGCACAGAAGCTAGTTTGGAGTAGAAGAAATTAGGGGTGTTATTCTTTGTTTTGTCACTGTTCGCATATCATTTACAGAAACTGGATGAGCAAGAAAATGGTGACACTAAAAGTTACTCCCTCCATTCTAAATTATAAGTCGTTCTTCGTTCTGGGAATGACTTATAATTTAGAATGGAGAGAGTAATTAACAACAGCAATTTTTACTAAAATTGTGCCTTTTTTTTTTTGCTCTGAGATGCTAAAAGGCTAAAATATTCATAGCTCGGTCCCATATATGTTATCATGTAAACAGTTTTGAGACCAGTTATATTATGTCTGAAATTCGAGTCAATACACAAGTAAGTTGATCAAATGGGAGAATATAGTATATGCTTCAGAAATATAAGATATGCTTCATAAATGGGAGGAACTAGCAACATATTAACGAATAGATCAGAACATACTTATTATGTGTGTGGTTCCAGCAGCAATGCAAGAACTAGCTAGACGATTACTATAACCTGCATCTAGTTAGTTGAAATGTCATCTCTTAAATTCCTTACCTGCAGGCATATATCATAATTTCTTAATCATGTTAGCTGTGTATTTTTAGGGATTCATTGTTGAAGGAAAAAAATGTTAGTGGCCAAGTTGCCCATGTATCATGTATATAGAGATAGATATGTGATGTATTATGTATATGGAGAATAGAGATGAGATGCAAACGGGCCTGCAGGCTGCAGCCTAGTGGTTGTAGTGAATTAGTAGCACCCAGCAGGCCTGGGTTCGACTCCCCACGGGCTAGGTTAAAAAAAAAATCCCCCTCGCCACTATGAGAAATATGTGGTCTATTAACTGTTACAGCAAAATACGTGTCTGCAGGTGCCTCCTGGCAGTCAGTGGTACGTCCTGGTAGTTGGGGTTTGGGGGGTTTTCTTGTGAACGACTTATTTTGTCTTAGTGCAACACCCACCGGGGGAGGTATTTTCCCAAAGCAAGAGTTTTATATGTATTCCTTATGTATTAAGGAATGAGAAAATTAGTCTCCAGTTGTTCCCTCCCAATCAGTCTCAGACACTTGATGGCAGCATTGACAGGCGGCTGCTCAAGGGTGAATGCCCTACCTCCAGGCCTTGGGCCTGCACCCAGCAAAAATTGAGAAAGAGGAGGAACATGGAAGATGTGCATTATGAACAGTTGAACACGAATCTGAATGCAAGCTGCTGGACATCAGCCAGCCGTCAGGTGGCAGTTAGACCACAAGGGCAGGGATAGAAGGGGATTTGGGATATTGGATCTATTTCTTCCTGCTTCTTTTAATGATACATCTCCTTTACTTATCCCCGACCCTAACCCTACTCAGGGATAGAAGGGGATTGGGATATTGGATCTAACCCTACTGACCCATCTGACTGCGGATCACAATGTGGTTGAAATTACGTTCAAGTACTCAGGCTCTCAGTACATTCTCAAAGTGAAATTAATATTCTGGTTTCTGAAAAGACCAATGCACTTACAATTCATATTGCATAGTGAAGGGTTCGCTTGTCTGCTCTTCTTACTTTGTGTTAAGTATTAACAAGCTTGAAAGATGGTGCGCAAAAATGCTACAATGATGCTTGACTCTGCTATGAAGTGAATCATGTTAACAACATCACGCCATAACAATATAACCATGTGTTCATTTGTGCATGTTGACAAGTTGAGTTGACCTGTACTCTATGAGTTTCAATTAGCCTTTAAACATGCTTCTTTTTGATAATCGGCTTCATATAAGAGACATGATTTGAAATTAAATAATTTTCTTAGGGACATCTCCAAGCGCACACTATTGGCAACTTTTGCAGCTCCAGGAAACAGAGTCTTCCAGATTCTGCCAGTTGGCTTCTGTAGTCTGCAGGAGGATATTATTCATGCTCCAGTTGATGACATAGATAAAAAGCTACAAGAGATCACAGTCAGTGACTTGTCCAGAAAAAATGACAGGCAGAACTTTATGACGCCACCAAGAGAAGATATAGCAGTTTGGGTACTGATTTCTTCTGCTTCTGTGGCTGAGTATCAACATGATCTTCGAGCCAAGGAAAACAATGCACGATGGAGGCTAGCTCTGCTAGCGAAGAAGAGAGTTTTTATGGGAAATGTTTTGGATACAAGGTACAGTCGCTTCTCCATGTACTGTCATGCCATACATTGATTTTTCAGAAAAAAAACCACATGCTGAGAATTGCTCTCATTTTTGTTAATGGGTTTGAATATATGATACCTTAAAATTTTTTAAGTAAATTTCACAGAAGTACACATGTTGGCATGTTGCCATAAGTATTAAGAAGTATAGACTTACAATTGCATCTCACAGAACTGTATATTTATCTAAAGAGATTATCAACAATTCTAATTAAGCAACACTGAATTCTCAAAAGGTGGCTTTCAGTTTCAGTAGGTTTTCTCAACTTGCTAGCTTACTCCTCTGACAACTTGCTATAATGGGTCATGATGTTCGGGCATAACATGGCCTGGCCAACTTATCAGCCGCCATGATGGACAATCTGATTCCTCAAAATCTGTGTACTAGTGTTATGAGTGCTGACCAGGTGTGGTACTGTATCGATGTGCTGCTGTAGCAAGCAACAATATTTCAGCGGTTGGCCTAGAGATAAACCTTTATCACTTATATTTAAGAAAAAAAGTCTATATGCAAACCCCCCCCCCCCCAACGTTTAGCAGTGTGTCTACTTCACCCTGATGTTTAGAAGTGTCTACTTCATTCCCTGACCTACAAACTAGATATACTATCCCCCTATCTATCAAAAATCGTTTGATCTACCACTTAGGTGATTTCATTGAGTGGTTTTGCCTTGTTGGGCCCATATATCAGGTGATATCTTATATCAACACAATTCATAAAATCTTTCTTATGAAATCAAATGAAGATAAACCTTATATCAAAACTGTAGAGTTTGACACGATCTACTATTTTGTAGTTGACAATTATTTTATTAGAGATCATCTAGAAGCCCATTAAAAAAAATTAAATGAAGACAATTATGTTAGAATATAAAGTGAATTGCCCATCTGATATGGCTAGGGAACTGGATGGTTTATTCAGGATCTGAGGATTATTCAACAATGGCAGCAGCAGAGCCAGTTCGCCCTCCCTGGGAGGCTCTGAACGACAATACTCTGCTTCTGCTTATCCCTCTCAATCAGCTGGCCCTTAGTTATATCCCCCTAATGGCCGGCTGTGCACTAACATGCACTCACAATGACCAAATCTCCTATTCGTACTTTCCAGATCCTAACTTGGCCGGCTGTGCACTAACATGCACTAACAACCTGCTGACCAAATCTCCTATTCCTAGTCTCCAGCTCCTAACTTAGCAGCAGCCCAGAATTAGACACTGGTGGTTGTTGGCGCCTTCTTCTTTTAGTGTACCGCTTTCCAATGAAAGAGTCCACAACACTTCCACCCTCCTTTCGAAACAGCTCGTCCTCGAGCTGGAATTTGGGATAAGTGGTTGTGAATTCTTCCAGCAGCTCCTAGGTGGAATTAGCAGGGCTCTGGCCAAGGCACTGCACCAGGATTTCCCACACACCATGGTTGAGACGAGCCCGAGCAATGTGACTTGGTTATGGAACAACATGGCCGTGGACCACCGTTGGCAGTGGAACGATGTCAGCTGGGGCCCACCATGGAACTTCTTTTGGAATACCACGTGGAAGACAGCCTTGAGGGCCTCGAATGCAGCTGTCGCCGCGTCTGTCCATCGGAACGTGTCACGCTTGAGGAGGGCAGTCAACGGCGTGGCAATGACGCCGTAGTTGTTGATGAAGCGCCGGTAGTAGCCTGTGAGGCCGAGGAAGCCACGCAGAGCACGGAGGGTTCGTGGTGTTGGCCATGATTGCACCATGTCGACTTTGGCCGGGTCCATGGCCACGCTCTCCGCCGAGATAGGTTGGGGTGGCGGCGGGGACGACGGGGTGTCGAAGAAGTCTCTGAACTTGGTGAGGAGCGGTTGCAGTATGTCCAGGCGATCCATGGCATGGAGGATGGGACCACGCGTCATGCCAATGCTAGTCCACCGAGCGCGGTGGTTCTGGTGCTAGAAGGCCATAGTCTGGTCATCGAAATCCCACAGGATGGGGCCCAAAGACTTGAGCCAGTGACAGACTAGCCCAACACTAGCTCGTAATTGGTGAGGGGCAGGTTGAAGAGGTCCATGGAGAAACCCTCACCGCCGGCGGTGACCTCCACGCTGCTGCAGACCCCATCGAAGGGAACGTGGTCCTCATTGGCGACACCCACAGTGAGTCTCGGCCGTGACGCTGGCGTGAGGCCAAGACAACGAATGGTGTCGCAGGCGATGAAGGAGTGCGTGGAGCCGGAGGCACCCTTGATGGTGGTGTCCATGAGCATCGTGTCCGCCGTGGTGACACCAGTAAGGGCGTGGAGGGATATTTCCACGTCCTTGTTGTCGGAGGTGTCATTGGTCGCCAGAGTGTCGCCGGAGTGTCGTCCATTGGAGCGTCTTCCGCTAACTCCATGAGGTAGATG